GAGAAGGGGCCTGAAGCACTTGTTATCTAATGAGATACTGGTGTGAGGCCAGGTGCTTCATGGGTAGAGGCAGGAAAGGAATCCCTGTACCCTTCTGTGCAGTCACACCCAGGCTTCCCAGCACCATATGTCAGACCAGGTATGGGGGCAACAGATGCAGCATACCTGCACAGGTAAAGTCGGGGCAACTGAGCAGGTTACCTGCATAAGTGCAGTGAAAGCAAATGTTTTGTGATTCCTCTGTACTGCTACTATAAGCAGAACCTACCAAGAGCAAAACCTTAGACACCCCCCACAGCTCTGCATACTTAAGGATAGGGCAACAGCCAGGGGCATTTCTCCCCCTGATTCAGTTGTAGTATCCACCAGGGATCAAGCAGGAGTGGATCATGGCTGGAGTTGGGTAAAATTCCTCTCAGCTGGGGTGCTTGAAGGATAAAAGGAGAGCAGAACACACTGGGCTTGGTGGCACACGCCTGTAATCCCAGCAGCTCAGAAGGCTGAGGCAGGAGGATCAAGAATTCAAAGCCAGCCTCAGCAAAAAGCAAGGCCCTAAGCAACTCAGTGAGACCCTGTCTCTAAATAAAATACAAAATAGGGCTGGGGAATGTGGTTCAGTGGCCAAGTGCTCCTGAATTCAATCCCCAGTACCGAGAGAGACAGAGAGAGAGAGAGAGCAATACAAGGTCAGCATAGAGCAAAGACTCTTTTCAGACCTTCTTTGGTGTGCATCTTGGAGCATGACTACATTTGGAGCTGCAGTAATGTTGTTTAAAACGGCCCCAACACCCCTCTGTGGGTAGGAGAGCAATAGACTCTCAGAGCTGTTTATCCACCTTGTTATTTGGTAGGCACCCTTGCATGGTTCTGGGAGAAGGGTGGCAGGAACTATGCAGGCAACTTCCTTCAGTCCTGGCAAACATGTGAAACCGCAGAGGCCAAGTTCCTGGCCTCAGAGGACACACTCCCCATCCCCCAATTCTTATAGAGGGCACCTCCTGTTCCCCTCCACATCATAACACCCATTCCCCACTGAGGAGTGCTCTCAGCAATTTGTGTCAGCCACTCCACCAAGCCAAGTCTAGTTCATGAGGCAGTCACCCCCTGAGACAATGCAGTGGAATGTCTGTGGGATCCTAGAAATGAGAATATTGCAGCAGTTTCTGACTCCTAAAGCAGTCCAAATTCAGACACTAGGTCCCTTCTCAAGATGGCTTCTATCTGCAGCATTCTTGGTTCACTGGGATATAAAGTGAATTCCTTTTCCAAAGCCAGACTACTGTAAAGATCTCAGTACAATTGTATATTTAGGCTGTAAGACTGCCAGGGCCATGAAACTTTGCCAATATCTGAACTGATAGAGTTTGCTGGAACTTTTTTACCTTCATTCCTTCAGAGGGGAGATTAACCCTCCTCCAGACCAGAATGTCAAGTAATGAGATATTTTCTCTTGCTATACTGCCATCTCAGGTCTCTGGACTTAACAAGGTTTCCATCTTTCTACTGTTGAATTCCAGTGTTCCCCTGTCGCCTCAGTCTTCACATATACACCTGTTGCTTTAGTTCTTCCTTGTGAAAAAGCAAATGAATGCTGGGTACCTCTATTCAGCCATCTTCTCCCCCCCCCCCCCAACCACCCGCTGTTGTCTCAGGAATTTGCTTTTCAATATGTATTTCTATTGTTTAAACTTGTATAAGTTCTTATTTTCTACCAGTAACACAAAGTGACTTCATGAAATAATCTTTTGGTGTTATGTATCTTCATTACCTTTTTACTGCCTCTTTGTCAATGATTGGCATTTGTTATGTTGGCTTTTGCAGAAAATTATCTCTAACTGATTTCCTCAAAGGTGTATAAAGTTCTTGTGAGAATTAACAAGGTAGTGCAAGGAACACTGGATTGGGAGTTGGAAGACTTCAAAGTGGGTCCCCAATTATTGTATTTTCTTGGATTTTTCTATTTGTATTTCTCTCTCCCTTTCTGGAAAAAAAATGTGTAATGACTCTTAAATCCCAGGGTCTTTTGAAGTATGATAAGTGCCCTCTTACAAATATTTACAGAGAAATTTTAAAACTTTCAGAAGGGTATCTCTTAGGTGACTTTTTCTAGATGATGCCAGTCATCATATCCCTGAGAACATTTAAGCAGCCCAATGATCAGACAGCAAAGAATCCTGACATCCTGCCAACAGCAAACACCAACTTTCAATTATGCTTGTTTTTGTGGTGACGGGGATTGAACCCAGGGCCATGTGCATGCAAGGCAAGCACTGTACCAACTGAGCTATATCTCTAGCCCAACCAACTTGCAATCATATGATTGTGTCATCTTGGCAGCAGATTCTCCAGCCCCAGTCAATCCTTTAGCCAATGACTTCTACAACCTCATGAGAGACTCTAAGCCAGAATGACTCAGTTAATCCATTCTTCGCTTTTTAATTCACAGAAACTGTGTGAGATAATGAGTATTTATTGCTTTAATTCTCAATGTTATTTGTTATATAACAATTTATAACTGGTATAGTCTTTAGAACCTAGACGCAGAGTGCTGCTATAACAAAAACCTAAAATGTAGAATAAGCTTTAGAACCAGGCAGTGGGCATAAGTTGAGGAGACTCAGAAGAGACAGTTGAGTTTTAAATGATTATCAAAAATCTCATAGCTTTCATGAGAGCTTCAAGGAAAATATAAGAAATATTATTAGACAATGGAGAAAATGGGTCCTTGTCATAGTGGCAGAAGTTTAGCAATAGTGTCACCCATGTAAAGTGAAAAATTAGAAAATGTATCCAACAAATTGAATAATGTTGCTAAAGACATTTCCTGGCAGAATTCTCAATGCTGACCATTTTTGCTGCTCATAGTAAAATGCAAGAGAAAATAAAGCAGTTAAAGTAATGACTTCCAAATAAAGGTGAGTTAGGAATTACTGGTTTTGAAAATCCACAGCCTCTTCAGATGGAAAATGATGCTAAATCAAGTAATAGGTTCCAAATGAAGATCAAATCAGAAAATCATACTACAAAGATAAAACCAAAGGAATGGTTGCAAATTTCTTTGATATATTTCAGAAATAAGCAAGGAAGTGCCTTGGAGAATTGTTAAGTCAATGAGACTTATAAGAACCTTAAGGCATTATCCTCAGTAGCCACAGCAGAATACCAAGATATAAAAGGATAAAAGGATTCATCTCAAAGACATGTGAGTATAGTTGTATAGTAGCAAAAACTCCAATAAGGCTCTTAAAAACCCACAAAGTTTTTCAAAGAATGACACTGGAAAAAGAAAAAACAATGACATTGGCAGAAACATTGCCAAATTGAGTTTAAAGGGGAAATACATTACAAATATATTTTACAAAGGAGAAGCAGGCTTTAGTTCCCAAAACTTTTACAGGCAGGAAGTAGGCTCCAAAAACTACTCAGCTATAAATTTGGCCCACTGTACATGGTGGACAGAGGACAGAACAAAGAGCCACAATGAATCTTTCTTAAGAGCTTGACTCCTAATCAGCAAACTACCAGCATATTCTCTATTGAATTTTAAAAGTTCTGTTTACCAGTGGTTTATTGGTGCTTCCCATTCTATTTTTCCATTTTCCACTTTTTTAAATGGCAGTGACTATCATCCTATGTGTACCCTGCCCTTGTATTGTGGGGACATGGAGGATAAATAACTTGTATATTTAGTTCAAAGATTTCACATCAAAATCAACTGAATCTTTACCTGTACCTAATGTATACCTGTATCTAATTAAACAATGAGATCTGAGATTTTTCAATGATGCTGTAATTAATGAATTGGAAGGTGGTGAGTGTATTTTCATGTGGGAGGAAAATGAAATATTAGGGTCCACAGGGTGGACTATGGCAGCCAATCTCTAAGATGGCCCCAACATCTTTGCCCCATAGTATTCATGATCTTGTGTTTACTGCCACATTGAATAGGGCTGACCTACGTAACCAATAAGATGTTGTAGAAATAATGGTGTGTAACTTCTGAAGCTGTACCATGAAAGACACTTATACTAGGGTCACTGGCTCTTAGAATAGCCATAATATGATGAAGACAGATAGTCAAGCAGACTTATAAAGATTGTGTGGTGAGGTACAGAGGACTCCTGCCAGTATTCAGCACCAAATTGCTGGCCATGTGAGTTAGATATTTTGAAAATGAAACTCGACTGCAACCTCATGAGAGATCCAGAACTAGAACTACCTTCTCAAGCTGCATCTGAATTTCCAACCCAACAGAAATGGATATTTAAAAAGCATGTTGATTTAAGTCACTAAATATTGGGATGGTTTATTACATGGCAATAGATTACTAGCACCAGAAAGGTAAATTGTTATAGTGTAATCAAGTAAAGATTACATTTGAGAAGGATGAAATGGTTATTAAATAAATCAAGGACAGTTTGGAGGGGGGCTTAGAAATTGGTTACCTTGAATTATAACCAAGTGGTTATAATTTACTAAATTCACACACATATTTGTTTTTATATGATATACCTCACAATTTTAAAAAGACTAAAGAAAAGTCTGCAGAAGTAACAATTTCTTCTGTTTTGTTTGCAGTGTAAAATTTTGATGATAGAATAATTATTTTCATGATGATTGATACATTTTGAACTCCTAGAATTCCCAAGACAGAATTCTGTTTCGAAACGTAATAACAGCCCCAAAAGAAGCCACGATAGGAGGTAACTTGCTGGATGTTGCAAGTTGGTTAAGAGGCAGAACTGATTAGAGCACAGAGTCTGATCATTCTTTATGTTCTTCACATTCTGAGTTCCTGCCTCTGAGCACAATGCATAGTTCCTGTTTTCATATTCACTCCCACCATCAAATAATTGAGATGTTTAGGATCTTGATGTCCTTTTCCCAAAAGCAAGAAATGGGTCTGGGTTGGGATAGGGTTCCAAGTAAGCATTAGCAGAATGAAAACACAATGGGTATGAAGAGTTCCTGGAACACCAAATGTTGCTCTTGCTCTCTAGGGCACTATGATCTGGTCAAGCCCAGTACAGCAGTTCAATATCACCAATTTGGAGACCCTCCCTCAGATGCATCTCGCGATCACTGCAGATATGGGAGAAAACAAGTGGAACTGTCGTGACAGGGATCCTCTGGCTACCTGCGCAATGGCTCAAATCTGTTTTTCCTTGAATGCTTTTCTCACAAAGGATGGGCCATTCCTGATGGTAAATGAGCCCCACACCTTAAGTGGGTGCACAAAATAAAATTCTTGCTGCTGCTTTGAAGACACTGAGGTCCTATTACTGTCATATCTCGATCTGTCTTCTACCCTAGGAGTTGATCACAAAATACCAATGATTTTTGACCATAAAAACCTGCATTCCATTTTGACTTTTGACCTACCTCATGTATATTTCCCCAGCCATAATTCTATGGGGAAAATAAAGTCCCTGAATTATGTTGTATCTCTGTCTCTTCTTTCAGTGTACATTGTTGTCCATGAACTTGGGCAGGGACAGTGGAGAGTAAGATGTGAATTTTGGCAAACATTGAGAAGAAAATAGTGCCAAAGTGCCTATAAATAACTGTCCTTGGCAAGAGTGTTTGGGGGCTTAGGAAATTTTATTCCATAGTATTATCCCAACAATTTTGGGAGGCAAGCTGATCAGAAGTTTGGATCTCCAATAAATGACTGAAGAAATGGCAGTATATATTGAGTACTTTAGGATATCACATCTTTTTCTGTTGACATGGTGGTGATGCTTTGGTTGCAGGTGGGTGATTCTGATGGTAACATCCACACATTTACAATACCTGAGTTAAGGGATATTTCTGAAGTCCATGCATTTCAACATAGCATTGATATTCTACACTGCTCTCCTGACAAGAAATGGGTCTTTTCATGTGGGATACATCAACATATTTTTTCAAAGGTAGGTGCTGTTCTGTGAACTTCAAGTTTAGGATAGGAGGGTCAAGCATTAGGAAGATCAAGTTGGGAAGTATCTGAGGAACTGCAGGGCCAGCAAGGAATTGGCATAGTGCTCCCTCCTCTCTAAGGAGAATCTGTTCATAAGCAGAATCTGCTCAAATAGTCAGAAAACAATATTTCTTTAAGCAGAATCTGCTCAAATAGTCAGAAAACAATATTTCTTTAAGCAGTAGTATCCAGTTGCAGTGACAAATGTTTATTAATGGAAATATGTTCATGAAACCTAAAGGAAAGTGAAAGGGAGATCCAAAAAAAAAGGAGGGGCTGGGATTGTGGCTCAGCAGTAGAGCGCTCACCTAGCATGGGCAGGACCCGGGTTCGATCCTCAGCAGCATATAAAAATAAAGGCATTGTGTTGTGTCCATCTACATCTAAAAATAATAATTTTTTTAAAAGTATCTTTAGTGAGCTTGTTCACTTTTGCTTTCCAAATTTTTATCTACCTTGGTTAGAAAGTAGAGAAGTCCAAGAAGAAATCTATGTATGTCTCTTAGAGTTACCCTAAGGAAGTCTTTGGCCTCTGAGCAGGCCATCTGTAGCATGGCACCTTGACTAGTTTTCCAAGAAGGGAAAATTGATATAACCACCTCATTTTGATCAGGAGTCCAATGTGGCAAGATGATTTTGTAACCCTTCAGCCTTGCATCAAGGACTCCATTCTATCTGTGAACATCCTGGTAAGATAAGAAGACAGTGAGCTCCTCTTTATACTTTGGAGTGGAAGCAGTAATTGTTTAACCTTTCCTAAGAGGCAGAACAGAGCTTTGGGCATAGGAGGAGAACTCTTACAGTGGCTTGTCTGGAGTCCCTCCTATACTGAGATTCTCTACCTTCCCCCTTCACCCGATTTCACTCTCTCCTTAGATTTTTTTCACAGAGTGTTTATTGAGACCATCAGAACATAGCACCCCCCTGTATTTCACTCTCCCATTTGCATCATGCAACAGAGGCTGCTGGACTCCAAGGAGAGAAAACGGGATACCACTGATGTACCGGAGAGATTCCCACAAAAAAAAACAGGATTTACCACTTTTGATCTAACAACAGAAAGCCCTGAGGGTTAAAAAGTCATTCCAGGTAGATTATGCAACATTAGAAATACTTGTTTCTATTCCTTATTCCGCATGCACTCCTATTAAGCTACAAATAGACATGAAGAGGTTGGTCTATGTAAAGGGACCAGAGAATTTCCTTAGCTGGGTGTGACCCCGTGCCTATTTGACTCTTATTCATGCTGATCTCTTAAGTTCACCCTGCTCTTTGGGGAAGAAACATTTTGATTTCTATTATGTTTTAGGGCCTGGGTTCCAATGCACATTTCCAGTAAAGGCTTCTTTTCAATGTTTAAGCTATTATGTATTGTCCATAATCTTCTGTTCCTATGTCAGGGTACCTATTATCTTGGTGGCATGGATTTGTCAGGCCACTTCATTGTCCTCGCTGGACTGGAGTTCCATGGAAGTAGGAAGTATGTTTTTTTTTTTACTCAATGCAAGATTATCTGTCTTATTCCTTAAGAATAAAACATTCAGGGTCACTCCAGGTGAATTGGGCTGCACAAAATAACCATACATGAGATAGAGATACCTTTTTCTTTGGGGTCCTGTGACGGTTCCTCTGACCTTAAAGGTCTGCAGAAAGAACACAAGTGAGCACGTGCTGAACCCTTTTATTGAGGAGAAGCCATTCAAATGAGGCAAGGGGTCAGGTTTCAGGGGGGTTGAGTCTAGCTTCATGATGTTTGCTGTCAGCAGATTGATATCTAGGAAGGCCATCCACAAAGGCAGAGCAAAAGAAGGGGACACACAAAGGGTATTTCCATGGAATATTCTATCCCAAACAGGGCAAAGGGGTAAAATCACAAAGGAATAGGTGAGCATAGCTCAATCCACGGGGCAACATGCCTATGTCTGAAGACGCATTCTCAAACTTCCGGGACTGGGGCAACATCCAGGTCACTACAAGATGTAGTGATGGCCAGAGCCTCTCTGCTCAGGGAAGGAGAATGTGAAATCATTCAGACTGGCTGCCCACAGTTATTGTTCTAACTAAACAATTTGCCTATAATATGTATATGTGTGTATGTGTGAGTTATACGAAAACAGCACATCAGATTGCAAGTTTTCTGTTGCCAGTTCATATAGACAGCCCTAATTGGATGGGAGTCAGTGATGGAAGTATTATTGTTGTTGAGAGTGGGCCATACCTGTTCCTCTTCACCATTAATGGCCTCATGCTAGAACGATGTGAGGGCCACCAGAGCATCATCAGCAACATATGGGTGGTACATACGATGCTTCTCTCTCTCTCTTTTTTTTTTCCATGTCAGGGATTGAACCCAGGGCCTCACTCTGTCACTGAGCTGTATCCTAGTCCCTTTCCCTATTTTTTGATCTGAGCTTGACTCATTATCCATTCACTCTCAGGTGTCCTTTGAAGGATTCTCTCCATATCCTTGCAGCATCCATGGATTGTTCTTTACATGTGTACATGTGGGAAGAGGGAGGCTATTACCCATATCTCAAGAAGTGCTGTCACCTGGAATACCTGGGGAACAGTCTGACACCAAGCTGGTAAGCCCTGTTTTGTGACAAACTTTTCTTGTGGATTCTTATTTCTACATAAAAATAAATGAAAGGATAATAGGTTTTTGAAATTCTTTGTAGATAAATATATGAATAAACTTATAATTGGAAACAGAATTGCTGGGGTTGTAGCTCAGTGGCAGAGCCCTTGCCTAGCGTGTGTGAGGCAGTGGTTTTGATCCTCAGCACTACATAATAAATAAATAAAATAAAGGTATTGTGTCCATCTATAACTAAAAAAAAAAAATTTAAGAGAGAATTGGTAGTTCTTGGAGTCACGGTACTTGCAATAGACATAAAAAGACTTTCCAAAATGGCACTCAATTTTTATTTCCACAAGCAGTAAGTGGAAGATTGGATACTCAATATCCTATTTTACCTGCAAAATTTGGGCCTTTTATTTTTTTAAGTTTATCAGTCATTTGTGTTGCCTCTTTGTGAGCTGCCTTTACTTCTACTTTGCTATTTTCCTTTTGGAGTGCTTGCCTTCAGCAAAGATGTCTCCTTAAAATTTTACACATTGCCAGGCAAAGTGGTGCATGCCTGTAATCCCAGTGGCTCTGGAGGCTGAGGCAGGAGGATTGTGAGTTCAAAGCCAGCCTCAGCAATGGCAAGGTGCTAAGCAACCCAGTGAGACCCTGTCTCTAAATAAAATACAAAATACGGCTGGGGATGTGGCTCAGTGGTTGAGTGCACCTGAGTTCAATCCTTAGTACCCAAATAAATAAATAGTACTGTCTCAATTTTTTTTATTACTAGTATGTAGAAATACAAGTGTCTTTTATATATTAACTTCGTCCTGCAAACTTGCTAAACTTATTTATTCTTTATTCTAACAGGTTTTGTTTTTTGTTTATTCTTTGTGGGGGACAGATTTTTGGAGGGGTTTTGTTTGTTTTGTTCTGTTTTTGTGGTACTGGAGATTAAACCTAAGGGTATGCTACCTCTGAGCTAGATCCCTATCCTTTTTATTTTTTATTTTGAGACAGGATCTTGGTAAGATACTGAGGCTGGTCTTGAACTTTTTATCCTCCTGGCTTATCTTCCTTTGTCACTGGGATTACAAGTGTCTGCCACTGTTTCCAACATCTAATATATTTCATTTCTATTTGCAGATAAATTATGGGAGGTTTCTAGGTAGACAATCATATTATATTAATAGAGACTATTTTCTCCCATTCCAACATGTGCATTTACTCCCTAATCCTGCTTTACTGTTTTGGCTATAACCTTCAGCACAATGTTGGAGTAGATAAAAAGTGTTCAGTCTTTCACTATTATTATATTCACCATTTTTTTTGTAGATGCCATTTATGGGATTAAGTTCTCTTGTAGTCCTAGTTTGCTGAGAGTTTTTGTCATGAATAAATGTTGAACTTTTCCAAATGCTTTCCTCACATAAATTGTGATAAGCATATGGGTTTTCTTCTTTAGATTATTGGTAGGGTAAATTATATTAATTAACTTCCTTTGTTTTGATCAGGACATAAAACTTTATTTTTAAATCCATGATTCACAAATAATTGTATATATTATGTATGTCTTCATGTATGTATACATTTGTATATAATTAAATCAAACTAATTAACATATTCATCACCTCACATAATTTTTTGAGATGAGAACATTTAAAATCTACTTTTGGAAATTTGCAAAGAATTAATTACTACTAACTGTAGACATCAATAATGCACCAAAGATCTCCAAAATTTATTCCTGTCTAAAACTTTGTACGTTTTGACTACATTTTCCCATTCCCCTTCTACACCCCACACTCAATTGCCATTCTACTCTCTACTTCAATGAGTTCAGTTTTGTTCTAGATTCTATATATAATTGAAATCAAACAGTATTTGTCTTTCTGTATCTGGTTTGTTTCACTTAGCATAAATGTCACATAGTGACATGATGAATCCATGCTGATTCATCTTGGAGTCACAGCACTTGCAATAGACATGAAAAGACATCAAAATAATGACAAACGTCCTTATTTTCCTGAATAGTATTCCATGTATATATATATACCACATTTTCTTCCTTAATCCATTGATGTACACTTAGGTTTAACCCATATTTCGGATATTGTGAAGAATGTCTCAATGAACAAGGGAGTACAGGTATCTCTTAACTTATCTCCATTCCTTTGGATATATACCCAGAAGTAGATTACTATATCATATAGTAAATCTATTTTTAATGTTTTGAGGAACTTCCATACTGTTTTCCACAATAATGTACCAATTTACAGTTTCAACCAACACTTTACAAGTGTTCCCTTTTTTTCCACACCTTTGTCAACACTTGTTATCTTTAGTCTTTTTGACAATAGCCATTCTAACAAATGTGAGGTGATACTTGTATTTTAATTTCCATTTCTTTGATGCAAAATATTAAGCATTTTTTCTTATATTTGTTAGCTATTTATATATGTGTTTTGGGGATAGGTCTATTCAGGTCATTTGTCCCTGTTTTTCATAGGGTGATTTATTTTCTTATTGAGTTATTTCAGCTCTATTATCTATTTGGATATTAGTCACTTATCTGATATATAATTTGCAAATATTTTCTCCCAATTTGTGGTTTTTTCTCTTCACTCTGTTAATTATTTCCTTTGCTATGCAAAAACTTTTCAGTTTGATGCAATACCATTTTTCAATTTTTGCTTTTATTGCCTCTGAGTTTGGAATTTTATCCAAGAAATCTCTGACCAGACCAATGTCATGGAGCTTTCACCCTTTATTTTCTTCTAGTAGAGTTTTACACTTTGGGGTTTTATATAAGGTGTGAGATAGATCTAATTTCATTCTTCGGCATATGGATATCCAGGTTTCCCAATACTAATTATTAAAGAGCCTGTTATTTCCCCATTATGTGTTCTTGGCAACTTTGTCAAAAATGAGGCAGGAGGATTGCGAGTTCAAAGTCAGCCTCAGCAATGGCAAGGCACTTAGCAACTCATTGAAACCCTGTCTCTAAATAAAATACAAAATAGGGCTGCGGATGTGGCTCAGTGGTTGAGTGCCCCTGAGTTCAATTCCTGGTACCCTCGCAAAAAAGATTAACTAACCATAAATGTGTGCTTACTTCTGGGCTCTAAATACTACCTATTTCATTGATTGATGTGTCTTGTTTTTATGCCAATACTATGATCTTTTGATTACCAGATCTCTGTGTAATGTATTTTGAAACAGTATTGTCATATCTCCAGATTTGTTCTTTTTGGTCAAGATGGCTTTGACTACTGAGAAATCCATTGTCATTCAAATCTGTCATTCTATAAAATGTGCTATTCTCTGATTTAAAGTTATTTTCTTTGTCTTTAGTTTTCAGAGACTTGATTATGATGTTTTTAGTGTGAATTTCTTAAGAGTTTAACGTGTTTGGGTTTGATCAGCTTTTTGAATCTGTAGATTTACCAGTTTGGGGATTTTTCTTTTGTTTGTTTTGTTTGTGCTGGAGACTGAATCTAGGGACTTGTGTATGCAATGTATGAGGTCTAGCACTGAACTGTACCCCAGCTCCTTAGGAAGTTATTACTTGTCTATGCATACTCGAGAGAAAGGGGATACCACTTCTACTTACCATAGTACAAAGGTGGTCAACAAGGCTGTAACCCCATGAGCAGATTGGGATTGCTACTCCTTCAGATGATACTCAGTATAACTTGGCTGGATCTATGCAGTTACTCAATATTTAAGAGTATGATTAAAGAACCAATTGGGAGAAATACTTATAGTTTTGTTGGGTTCTAATTTAATATCAACAATGGACATATCTAGTTTCCATTTCACCCACTGATCTTGTTTCTTCTGCCAGCAGCCAGGTCTCCCGGGCAATATGTGATAACATGAGCATAGTACGCGTGGTGTCAAGAGCTCATGAATCCAACATTCTGGTGATAAATATTTTGAATGTGTAACATGGAAACCAATGGAGTTAATTTTGCATCCTCATCCTTCTCCTTGATGTAGTAAAGATAATTCTGTTTGCAAGACCAGAATGATGATTTAAATGCTATTAAGAAATGGTTATATATATAGTGAATTAGACTCATGACAGATGTTATGAACAGGCGCTATACAGATAGAGTGTGGAGCAAAACATCCTTTAGAATGCAAATAAGGTAATAAAATGCAAATAGTCATAGATACACAGTTCCAAACAATTCAAGGGGAATATGTTATGGGGAAGATTTTCAACTGTAAACTTAGATTGACACAGATTCTTTCACTTTTAAATCAGCCTCAATCCATGTTCTTGCCTATAAACAACCACACACACACACACACAAAAAAAAAAAAAAACCTTTGTCAAATCTGAGCCAAAAAACAAAGTATTAAAAAGACATAGAGGTTAATATTTAATGACCTACCTGACAGCTGTTCAAAGTAGATATGATGGGCTGGGGCTGGGGCTCAGCAGTAAATAACTTGTCTAGCACGCGTGAGGCATTTGGTTGATCCTCAGCACCACATAAAAATAAAAGTATTCATCTACAAATTTATTTATTTATTTATTTATTTTGAGACACTGTCTCAAAATAAAGAATTCCTTGTGTGTGTGTGTGTGTGTGTGTGTGTGTAAAACAAATGTGACCCCACTAAGAATGTCATTTATCATAAAGGCAGATGGTTTGTCTTTTTTGAAAAAAGACATATCAGGCATGGTGGAGTACACAAGTTCAAAGCCAGCCTGGGCAACTTAAGACCCTGTCTCAAAATTTTAAAAAAGGGCTGGGGATGTAGTTCAGTGGTAAAGTACCCCTGGGTTCAATCCCCAGTACTATTTAAAAAATAAAAAGGAACTGTGCTGGATACAGTGTAATTCCAGCAGCTCTGGAGGTTGAGACAGGAAGATCATAAACTAGGGAACTTAGTGAGATCCTGTCTCAAAGTTAAAAAAAAAAAAAAAAAAAGGGCATGTGGGGGGATCCAAGATGATGGAATAGAAGAGAAACTGTTTCTGGCTGCTCTGTGCATGAATCCAAGGAAGCAGTCAGGCAGCTTCTCCACAAGGTCTCCCTAGACGGAATACAACATCTCAGAGCATGCGACAGGACCCCTATACAACAGATTTTCACAGAAACAACCAGTGCTGCGACTACCTATGCAGAAAGCAGAGCCTCTGTGTTCCACTAAGACTCCAGACTCCAGACCCAAAGCCCGCAGTTCGAGCATACACACAGCTCTCAAGCGGCGGCGTAGCAGAATCACTAAATCGGCACCTCTGCAGAACTCTAGACTGCGCTCCACTCCCACGCAGGTCACCTGACTGCGTTCTAGCCACAGCACAAGGACATCCCAGCTACCCCCACCTCACCAGACACCCAGGTGCTGGAAGCAGACCAACTCCATTTTGGAAAACCTTTCTCACCATTTTTTGGTGGGCATGGGTGCAGATCTCCAACTGAAGAGGTACCTGGTTTCTAACTCCCCCTCCCCCCATCTGCAAAAACTCGGCACAGTGACTACCCAGCACAAAAATTTCTCTCAGTAGAACAGAAGCGCAGTGCCACCAGGGCGCTGCCCACCTGGTGTGAACCACCAACTGCGAGAGGTCCTGAAGTTGGGACCTGATAAGCAACAGAGAGTCTAAAACCAGGCAGGAGAGGGAAGATGATAGGGGTGGGGGGGGGGGGGGGGGGACTCAAGTCTTCTCACCCTGGTTACCTACACCACCCTGAGGGCAGAGATTCAAGCTTAAAATAGACAATTCCACCTACTGGAAGAGAAGCAGGAAATAAACGGAATTCTAAGAGTATTTTCTTCCTTCTTATCCTTTTTCTTTCTCCTCTACCCTTCTATCCTCTGGCACTCACAACCCCAACATATGTGAAACCAAGAACTTTGCATGAAATAGAATATTGAGAACTGAGTCACCAGAATAATATAATATAGAGGAATTGCATAAGCCCCGCCCCTTTTCTTTTTTTCTCTTTCTTTCCTTTTCTCTTTCTTCTTCTTTCAACCTCCAAATTTTACTATTTTTACATCCTGTAATTTTGTAAATACATATGTGTGTTTGTCTTTATGTACTCTACTGTCCTCCCACGTACTTGTCTACCCTAAATTACCTCCTTTCTATTCCCCTGTTACTAACCCTCTTCATTAGAGTTCTCCTCCAAATTTCCTAAGTTATATTAACCCCATACCCTCACATCTTTCCCCCTTAGCATATTGTCCTACGCCCGACTCCCAGTTCACTGTCTGCCACCAGAAATTGTACACCTTTTATGAAACTACTGATTATATTTTAAATAATAATCCAACATTTCTGGACATTGAGACTAACTATAAATGTCTTAATAACAATAATTTGTTCATAGGTGATGTATTGTTGATATTGGAATCTATTAACACTATCCTTCCCCACAAAGGAGGGATCTCAAAGGAACCATACAAGAGCACTACAAATCTATAGGGTAAAAACAATAACACACCAGTCCCACAGAGCTGGAAAGAAAGAAACACGAGCAACATGAAAAGACAAGAGAAGAAAGTACCACAAACAATTCAAGACAACACATCATTAGAAGAATGGACAGCTCCAGCAGAAAAAAAATACAGAGAAAGATTTCAGGATATACATGATTAAAATGTTTTGGGATCTCAAAGAATTCATTGGAGAACAAATACAGGCAGTGAAAGATCACTTTGACAATGAGCTACATAAACAAATCCAAGAAGCAAAAGATCACCTCAACAGGGAGATAGAGGTTATGCAAAAAAAACAGAAATACTTGAAGTGAAAGAAATAATAAACCAAATTAAAAACTCAAACGAGAGCATCACCAACAGAGTAGAACACTTAGAATATAGGACATCAGACAATGAAGATAAAGTATATCATCTTGAAAAGAATGTAGCTAGCACAGCAAAAATAAGAAACCACTAGTAGAACATCCAATAAATATGGGATAGCATAAAGAGACCAAATTTAAGAGTTATTGGGATAGAGGAAGGCATAGAGGTCCAAACCAAAGGAATGAGCAATCTGTTCAATGAAATACTACCAGAAAACTTTCCAGACATGAAGAATGAAACAGAAATCCAAATCCAAGAAGCCTACAGGATGCTGAACGTGCAGAATCACAACAGATCCACACCAAGACACATTATAATGAAAATGCCCAACATACAGAACAAGGAGAGAATTTTAAAAGCCCCAAGAGAAAGAAATCAGATTACATATAAGGGTAAACTAATTAGGATAATGGCAGATTTTTCGACAGAAACCCTGAAAGCTAGAAGATCCTGAAACAACATATTTCAAGCCCTGAAAGATAATAGATGCCAACCAAGAATCTTGTATCCAGCAAAATTAAGCTTCAGATTTGAAGATGAAATAAAAACCTTCCACAATAAACAAAAGTTAAAAGAATTTACAGCTAGAAAACTGGCACTACAAAACATCCTTGGCGAAATATTTCATGAAGAGGAACTGAAAAACAACAATGAAAACCAGCAGAGGAAGGTAGTACACTAAAGGAAAAACTAATAAAAGAGGAAAACCAAGTCAAGTTAAATAACAAATATGGCTGGAAATACAAACCATATCTCAATAGTATCCTTAAATGTTAATGGCTTAAACTCACCAATCAAAAGACAGGCTAGCAGATTGGATTTTAAAAAATATCCAACAATATGCTGCCTACTAGAGACTCATTTGATGGGAAAAGATATACACAGACTGAAGGTGAAAGGCTGGGAAAAATCATACCACTCAAATGGACTGCGGAAGCAAGCAGGGGTGTCCATACTCATATCAAATAAAGTAGACTTCAAGCCAAAGTTAATCAAAAGGGATAAAGATGGACATTATATACTGTTCAAGTGAACCATACACCAACAAGACATAACAATCATAAATATATATGCTGCAAACAATGGTGCAGCTATGTTCATCAAGCAAACTCTTCTCAAGTTCAAGAGTCAAACTGACCACAACACAATAATCTTGGGGGACTTTAACACACCTCTCTCACCACTGGATAGATCTTCCAAACAAAAATTGAATAAAGAAACTATAGAGCTCAATAACACAATTAATAACTTAGACTTAACTGACAGATATAGAATATTTCAACCGGCATCAAGCGGATACACTTTCTTCTCAGCAACACATGGATCCTTCTCTAAAATAGACCATATACTATGCCACAAAGCAACTCTTAGCAAATTCAAAAAAGTAGAGATACTACCATGCATTTTATCAGATCATAATGTAAAGAACTTGGAAATAAACGACAAAATAAAAAATAAAAATTTCTGCATCACACGGAGACTGAACAATATGCTACTGAATGAACAATGGGTTATAGAAGACATCAAGGAGGAGACTGAGGGCTGGGGATGTGGCTCAAGTGGTAGCGCGCTCGCCTGGCATGCGTGCGGCCCGGGTTCGATCCTCAACACCACATACAAACAATGATGTTGTGTCCAACAAAAACTGAAAAATAAATATTAAAATTCTCTCTCTCTTCTCTCCTCTCTCTCTCTCTCTCTCAAAAAAAAAAAAAGGAGGAGACTGAAAAATTCTTAGAGGTAAATGAGAACACAGACTCAACATATCAAAATCTCTGGGACACCATGAAAGCAGTACTAAGAGAAAAATTCATTGCATGGAGTTCATTCCTCAAAAGAAGAAAAAAATCAACAAATAAATGACCTCACACTACATCTGAAAACCCTAGAAAAAGAACAAATCAGCAACAAAAGCAGTAGCAGGCAAGAAACTAGAGCTGAAATCAATGAAAAAATTAGAGCTGAAATCAATGAAATCGAAACAAAAAGAAACAACTGAAAAAATTGACAAAACTAAAAGTTGGTTCTTTGAAAAATAAATAAAATTGACAGACCCTTAGCCACGCTAATGAAAAGAAGAAGAGAGAGAATTCAAATTACCAGCATATGTGATGAA